GTTGCGGAGGGAAGAATATGCCAGCAATCAGCACTAATACTAATCACGACCTAAAGTTGCCTCTCCCAGCCATGGTTAAGCAGAAATACAATTACAAAGGTTTTAGAGGTAGTGGTGTTGCCCACCCTATAAGCACTCCTGTCATTGGGATGAACGCTCCTAGTGTTCTTGTGCTGCAATTCTCAGAGCAGGGTGCTGGGCAGGTACACATGTTCAGACAGGAAGACAGCATGACCTAGCTTTCAGGCAATAAATAAGACTGCCCCACCGCAACATGGGAATTTGCTTCAAGAAAGACTCCTAAAGGTCAGGTAATTTGGAATGAAGCCAAGCAGGAAGTGGCAAAAAGATAATAGCATTCAGCTTCTTCCCTGAGGAAATCACAAATATCTTTCCATAAACCTCTGATCGCGCAGGAAGTTTGACCCTCATTGTTCCTCAGCAGAGTACAATCATAACGGATGGACCCCTTGGCGCATCTGAAGTTTTGAGTCAAAAAGTAGCATCAAATGACGGTGGTAGACTGCACAGTCCCTCAAGTTACGTGTTTTAAGACCAATGTCAACTACAAAGTGATGAGAAAGGAGGAGACTAATTGAACAGCAAAGTTCCCAGCAAACAGTCTTTATGGTATCAATATGCTTGGCTATCTTGTTCATAATGCCTGATGAAGCCTAGCCACCCATTAACAGTCACTATCATTCCAAATAGAGAAGTGTTTTTTCTATGGGAAAGACTGCACAGCTGGAGAGGATCCAGTTCCAGAGTCCCAATAGCTACATCTTGTGCCTTGACTTCATAGAGAACTGCAGCTGTGCTGTAGCACCAAGCTCTGCTGATGTCAATCCTGCAACTCCCATCAGCAACCAAGCTCACATCTGCAATTTCTAATAGCCACAGAATCAGTCATCACCTTTGCAATGACTAGTGGTGGATTGAGACTGATTGGACTACACAGTTAACCAGTACCAGAATAATAATTTGTTTTCAATAGGGTTAAAGCCAGTCAATGTTTCCCCAGTGCTAATAAGCAGGCCTGATTCGCCGAACAAGATCTCTGAGACCCTGCCTTGCCACACTTCAGGAGTTCGAGATGGCACAGTCAGGAAGACGAGACAGCACTTCCTGTGTCTGATGAGCAGCTCTGCACCAGATCTCAAGTGCAACAAGATTGGACTGAGTTGCTCTCCCTACTGGTTGTCAACTCCACACTCAGAAGAGCTCTCATCAAGAATGAGTAGAGAACCAAGAATATAAATCCTGAGGTTGAAAATCCTGCTGCTGCTACAGGGCAAAATATCATGTACATGATCTCTGTGAGAGAAGAGGTGAAACACATTCGTGGATGAAATACAGCCCTTTGAGTCAGCGTATAAAAGAAGCCTCTGGCAAAGCCACCGAACCAGGAAACCAATAAGAAACAAGAGCTAGAAAGATTCTGTGCACAGAAGTATTCAAATTTACAAGGTTTGCTAGCAGGAAACTAAATGGCAGAGAGCTTTCTCTGCTACGTGCAATAGAAGCAGAGATCTCATGAGATAAGGCATTCTTCCACCACTGCTAGACTCCATGCACTCTTGAGCAAGGAAACCACTGCATTGCCAGAAAGTCTGAAGATTTTCCTCACACCTTAAGTTTTCACATGCAGTAGGTCTTTCCCACTGATACTTTTCTTGGTTGTACAGGAAGAGGGGACAAGTTAATTATACTGTGACTTGCTGTATTTTCATGTAGCCACAACTAATCACAGAAAGATATTGCTGGGTTCAGGGTAAGACTGCCTTTTTGAGCAGCAACACAATCTTAGACTAGACTGAGCTAATCAATAAAGGTCTTGGCAAGACACTACATTATTTTAATAATTATAGTATGTCACACTATTTGTTATTGGGGATAGAGGGGGAAGTGAGCTAAATAAGGAATTAATAGGCCATCAATTTTTTAGACTCCTTTATTATAAAGGGAGCAGATGTCTTAGTGCTCCAGTCAATGAGAAAAGATATTCCAGAAAACCATTCAGGAGCAAGCTTAATTCTAGAAGTTATGAATCATGTTACATCCTGGTTACAACATCCTTGTAAAAATACTTCTGTTACATATCTCAATCAGATTGTGTTGCATCTTCTTGACCAAAGTTCAAACTCTGAAGTAAATTTTGTTCTCTTAATGTAACATTAACAGTCTCAAATGTTGAAAAAGAAAAAAATCAAGGTGCATGAGTCAAATTTAGAATGGCCACACGCTAAATTATTTCTGTCTAAACCTCTCTATTAGTTACTCTCTTACCTAAAACCTTGGTTACCTGCACCCTCCCGTGTCCTGCTCAATTCTATTTCCCTGGTTTCTGATTTTCCATTCAAGTTTAAAATCTACACAACCCTACTAGCCTGCCACTGAAAAGAATTATGTGCTTATTATATATATAGATGTCTCATTTTTTGGCTAAATATTTGAATTGCTAAGTTATTCAACTAGAATGAGCAGGTTACCTTATCAGAATTCCAGCAAAGCCAGTCAGCATTTTTCACAGTACCAGTTATGGTGTTACATGTCTAAGACTCAAGAAGTTACCCACCTTTCAGCATTAAGCAAGTGAGAATGCCTTCTCTTTTCTGTTAAGGAATCTCCTTCATAAGAACCAGCAAAGTTTTTATTATTTGGTAATATTTTATTCTTGCAAAATACACCTAAAAAAACCCTGTTTCTACTGTTTCTTAACATTTACATTCACTTACTTGAAACTATGCTAGCAGAAAAATAGCAAGAACAGTATATTTATATAGGCCACTAATTAGTCAGCAATGATAATATTAGAAAGAGAACATTATGGAGTTGAATATTCCTTTCACTCAAAAATTGAGGGAGATTCTCCATTTTTGCAGCTAAACACAAAACTGAGAGGCACCGAAGAATAAAGTGAAAGATCTAGGAGAACCTCCACCTCACCTGACTCACACTAAAGACAGATATACATAGTATACATATCTTCCACCTTCTGCACCTTTCTATTCATTATCTTTTCTGTATCTGATAGGATCTTCTCTCAAGGCCATCAGTCCAGAAACAATTACAGCACACTCTACTATGGCACCTTTCAAGAAACACATATTTTTCAATTGTTAGACAAAATTAATCATTTTATTTCTGTGTCATTCAGGTCAGAATTCAGAAGAACTTGAAACTGCCTAACTGGATTAAATCCAAATTCAAAAAAGGGACCTAATTCTATTCTGCCTTCGCCTTTAGATTAGATCTAAATAACTTGCCCATTGAAGAAGAAATTCCTTGTCATACAATGTTAAATGGATGACAACCAACAAATTATTACTGCATACAGTAATTCTTTTTCCAAAGAAATTTTTCTTAAAGGGTAATCCAAACTCACATAAAAAGCATACTGCAAGCCAGTATTTTTTAAGCAGCTTTACTGTATGTTGATTCTCACTAATGAGAACAGTGAAAAATCATCAAGTTCACTCCATAGATCTGCATGTTTTGCTCTCCATCCACTGCAAACATGATAATTCACATTCCTTTACCAAAGGATCTGACCTGAGGTATTTCATTACCTCTTCTGCAATCAAAAACCAACCTGAACAACTATGTGCATTCACTAATAAATCCTAAAGGAAATCAAAGATGAAATAGCTGAACTATTCACTGCTGTTTGCAAGCTCTTAAATCAGGGTTGGTTCAGGAAGATGACAACTTTTGAGTAAATTTAAAAAAAGGACCACAAAATCCAAAGAAAAAAACCAAAATAAGCAGCACAATGTCTACGCTGGGTAAGTTTCTAGAAACAGCAAAAACAACTTTATATAAACAATTATTTCACATCATAAATCCAGTGTGCCCACATCTTGAATATACTATGTTGTTGTGTTTCTCTCTCATAAAACAAAGATAAAATAGAATGGTTAAAAAAGTTAGAGAAAAGCAAGAAGAGTAAGAGGAATAAGAACTTGATTAAGACTAGGAAAAGATGGAGATACAACTAAGTTTATGGAACAAAGCAACAGAGGGAATTAGGTGCATGCAGTGCAACTGGAAGGTAGAAAATTGTTCTTCATATAACATACTTTGAGTCTTACACAGACATTTCTGAACACAAAGAAGCCTCATTCAGCTCTGATGTTCTAATATAGCTCTGATGATCTCAGACCACTTCAGAGACTCCCCCTTCAAAGAAACTCTTCACTGGTAGAGCTAACACGCACAAGCAGAAGTACTGAGCCATAACCACCACAAAAACACCCAAACCCTGTCTTGTGAGAAGTTCAGCACAGAGCTAAGGAAAACACACCCTCTGTGATACAAGAAACAGGCCTAACTGGTACTGAACAGTGATATAGGCATTTTACAATCAGTGAAATATAGATTGAGACTAATTTTATGTTACTTTAAATAAAATACATCAACTTATATTAAGAAAAAATTTTCAACATAATATACCGGTCTTTCAAAAAACCTACATCCTGAAGAATCAAGTTTTAAAGAAATAAATGCCTTTTTAAGCCCCCAGTTTTATTTTAAACCTTGATCTTATCCTACAAAGAAAAAGTATGTTTATAGAAATGTCTTAGACTATTAAGTTTTTCCACATACACTTTTCAGAATGTCAGAGATTTCAAGTAACAGAAATTGCTAAACCACCTTGTTTCAACTTAAGACTCAAGCTCTTAACACAAGTGAAAGTCACAGTACTCAATAACAGAAAAAGACAAGGGAAATCTTCCCTCCCCAGCCCCTGAAATCAGTAAAGAAATCCAACCCATGTCACCATTCATTGCTTCAAACTTCAACTCAGTGAACACTTATTCACTCTGAAGTTTCTATTATTCAAATTCTACGGGTCTTTTGCAGAAAACTTCAAGTACTTGTAACTTCAGAGACCTATTTATTGATCCACTGGTGACAGAAGCAGGAGAAATGAAAAAGATAAAAATGACTAGAATAGCAAATGATATTCTCATATTAAATAATGCATATGAAAAATGTTACCTCATCATGTGTGTATCTGTAATCTGCCTTCTTTGACTTCAGATCCCATAATACCACTGTTCCAGACTCAAAGCCAATCAGAAGCTGCAATGATAAGCAGATATATTAAGTCTTTATAAGAAGCAAAATACCTTTTGCAATGCCTATAGTTCTTGCCCCAAAGAGATGCAGCATAATACCACATGTAGTAACTGCAAGTAGTTATGAAGACAAAAATTAATGAGAAGCAGCAAAGACTGTTAGAAAGGTTTACTTTGTACTTGTCATTATCCTAAACTTCCAGTTAATACAACTTACATTCATGCAAAATTAGAAAAAAAAAATAATGCATTCTTCACAAGAGTCCTTGGAAATCCCTTTGAGTTCCAGAATGGCCAACATTAAACTTTAAGTGTATTCCTTCCTGAGTGAAAATGACAGTGTTGGAAAAGAACTTTTTATTGTGTGTTTTCATTACTGGAATTCATTCTGCTTAGATTTCCAAGATTAAAACATTTCTGCAGGGAGTCAAGATTCCAATTGCTCATAATAATTGGTCTAACACATTGTTGAGTATGTGTTTTGCTCTATCTTAAGTGACACTTCTCTTAATGAAAAGAAAACAAGGCCAACATAAGGCAGTAGTAACAGTCTTGGCACTTGTTATATAGAAGGCGGCAATGCAGTTTCATCTTCCATAGTTGCTGGATCTACTACGAGATGTGATCTGTCCTTTGAGCAATGTTGCTACAGAAGAAGCAGCTCCTAAGATTAAGTAGCATGCCTTCACTCCCAGTTCTTTTTCCCCCAACACGGACATACAAAAAAGAAGTAGTTGGCTGCTGGGATTTACTCACTGTTAAAACACACTATTTCCTGTGAGCAAACAGAAGTGTCCTGCGAAGTGTCCTTCATATTACAAGTTAGAAAACACTGCCTTCACACATTCCATTGTAGTCAAGGATAGGAGATCTAAATCAATATGGTCTATTGCCGCAGCTAGAGGTTTTGCCTAGACAGTCTTTTCACTATGTTGAGATTTTCAAGGTGCATAGTTATTTCCAGTATGAAAAATAACATATGATCTCCTACCAGCTTGCAGATAAAATATTTGATCTATTTCAGTGCTATACAGCACTAATACCCTAAAAGTATTAGACACAATTGATCTAGTAAAAGTGAATATTAGAGATATTTTCTTCACTACAGTCTGTATACTATTATTTCAAGTGATCTTGCTTATAAGCCATATTTTATATTTTTTCTATTTTAACTTCAAGCATTAGAAAAGTCACAGTGATTAGAAGGCTAATAACGTGAACGAATTTTAAAAGTGAGTACACAGGAGGTTCTTGCAACTACAGGTTTTTTTCAGCAATATTTTTCTTACGAGAAAGAAGAGGAGTGTAAGGCCAGATTCTAAAACACTGATTGATAGCCTGATTGATAAAAACAGTAATTCTTAAACTTTCATTGACAGTAATTAAGCATGGGGTGGAATACACCAGAATAAATAGAACATTTGTCTTTACTGAAGTTTGCAAAGCTTCACTGCATTCATATTCTAGGGTCCATGATTATGGAATGTGATTCAAACCTAATTCTACAGAGAAACCCATCAGTTACATGCTTACTGCAGTGAGCTTCACCTCAATGAAAACAAACTCTACTTACGAAATTCTCTTATTGGACTGAAACTGTAGGTGTCTAGGATACAAGCTTATAATTAGCATGCTATTAAAACATTCAAACCACTGCTCAGACAGTAGTATCATCCCCTCTCTCTTCAGTTTTATCCACTACTAACATGTCAAATGAAAAGCAAGTAAACAAAGAAATATTTCTCCTGCATATGTGGAATAGTAGTAAGCCTAGTTATTTTCTCTCTCCTTGAAGATTCTTCACAAATGGGAGTTCAAAACGCTAGGATATTTTTGAGACACTACACTGGTGAAGATAATAATTTAGAATTTAATTCATCAACCTATTCAATCACTTATGCCTGATTAATCTAAAGTGGAATCATTAATTAGAATCTGTTTAAAGTGAGTGACATCAACGTGTCTCTGGCTAAGTTATAACCATGCTTTTGTCAGGGTCTACACACTTTTGGAAAAGATACATGTAGAAACTACTGTTTTCAAATCCTTCTTTCACATTTTGCTTTATTCCTGTTGTCAAAACTAAGGAAAATCCCTCCTGCTTATCCTTCAGTCTGGATGAAGGGATCTGAACAAAAGTTGCAGTAGACCACTAAGATTTGCTAAATAACTGTATTGGGCAGACAAGATAGAGGCAGAAGAACCTTCATAGAGTGGGTGACCCATGTGATCCCATTCCAAGGCTTGTAGAAGAGGTCTATTACCTGAAGCACAGACTTGGTCTTGCAATCATGATTTAAGTGGGGAACATATGATTTGGTACTACAGTAATTTGCTGTCACCTAGAGAAGGAATACTAACATTTTAACTCCTTGCTTTCTCTTTTAATTCATGAAGTCTTCATTACGAACTAAAGTTGTGTGTTCTACATTGGTGTTGCATGAGCCTCATAATAGATGTCCCAAAGCAAACGGTAATAATACTTGTGGATTTACTTTAGTAATATAGAACAAACGTATGACCATTAAGTTCATATCTCAAGTTGTTCTTTGTGGCTGCTGTGTCACAGGACAAAAATTGTTCTTGAAGCCCTTGCAAGTACTGTGAAACTTCTGTCAAGACAAAACGATGATGATAATGCTATCTCAAAAGAGGGAAAAGTCTAATACACAGCTTTCTGAAATGTTTTAGTTGAGCTGACTTTTCTGAAGTATTAGTTGTACTACAGGCCAGTTAGGTTTTAAGCAATTTATTATAATCACTAGATGATGTCTGCTAAACGAATGTATGTCAGACCTCAAATCCCATAGAAACTGCTGCCTTAGAATACTCTGTACTTCATCTTCAGTTTAGCTAATCTAAATAAATATGCTACATAAACAGGCATTTTAAAGTTGTGAAACAGCAACACCCAAGAGCATTATAAAGTTTATTTAATTTCCTTCCCACTATTTTTCCACTCAGGTTATGACTGGGGGTTTTTGATAACATCTTAATTTTTAACCACCATATATAAAGTTCTTTGCTTTTGTTTTCAAGAATTTTTGCAATTAAGCACTTTCAGCTGTGTTTTAAAATGTTTCTGATTACAAGATGCATTCAATTATTTTAGTAAGGTGTCCTACCATCATGTCATGTCTGTACCTTGCTTTTAGTATTTTAGATCTTAAAACCTTGATTTAGACCTCCTTCATGCTTTTAACATTGTCCCTATCTACTTAATCCTTCCTTAAAAAGCAGCAGTATCTATACTTTAAAAAAGTCCTGCTTGAAAAACAATGTATTGAATAATCTTTAAACATATCCTACCTTTCCTTCATCCATTGGATTGTCACTAATGTGGACAATAGGTCCTGGGTGAGATTTGGATGACCTAAACAACAAACATTTCCATTTAATTAAAAAAACTCCTTTGTCTAAAACTGCATCTCAAAACGACTGCAAGTAATACAGATTTGCAGATATAGACTCCATGTAAGCAAGCCATTGACATTTCAGCATTGAGTCACTTTTATCTTCAAGCCTATAAAAACTTTGTGTCTATTTGTAGGCACTTTCTTTTTATAAGGAGGAAAGACTTATTCACTGCTTATTCACAACACAAGAAAATTGCCATTAGCTTTAGCATATCTATTTAATGTTTGATGTTACAGAATCACAGTTGGGTAAAATGTTTATTTTTACGCTGGAAAACAGGTCTTGCCATTATTCATAAACTGCCCAAACTGGACATTGTTAAAACAATATAAAGTTAGGACTTTATATTGACTTCTTGCTATTGAAGAAGATGGACTAATGAAGAGCTGTGTTTGTTTCAACTTGCCTTTGGCAAGTTACAGACTTCACACATTTTTAAGATAGACATGACATTCTGGGAACAAAACAACAGCAGAGAAACAGCAGCACACAAGTATATGTTTTCACTAACAAAACATTATATTTGCATAAAGAAACTTCTTTTTTTAAAAGGAGCAGCAATGATAATAGCTGTAAAAAAAGCCTCATTCTTGGAAGTGGCTTATTTAAATCTACACTTTCAGCCAGTAATTTTATACTCAGCATGCCATCAGCTTTCTTACACTGCCTGTCTTTGTACTTCAGGCTTTAACCCCAAAACTATAGAGGTGACATGCCTGCCCAAGTACCAGCCACATTGTATTTTAACAGATATTATTTTTCTAGTTCTTTATCACCACAGATGATAATTTTTATGTCTGATTTTATATTGTCTATTCCAGGCACTAAAATAGTGTTATAGGCAGAAACATATATATGAACATTAACATTTCACATTTACAATAAAAAGTATTTACATGACTATTTATGTACTTTGATCAGGTATTTGTTGTAGTGAGACTAATATGGAGGCCATTCTAGGTAACAATAACACTTTTGCAACTGATTAATAACATCTGGGACACTTCTGTCCCCTCCCCCTCAATGGACAATACTTGATTAAACTCACAGTTCAATGGCTTTATTCCACATGATGACATAGCCTGAGAGAGTAAATGATTCCACATTGACAATGTGAATGTTTCCTCTTTCGGTGCCCACATACAGCCATTTACTTTGGAAAGGCAGATGACAAAATGTTATCCTGAAAGAGAAAGCCACCAAAAAAGGGTATTAAAGGAAAGTCTTCTAGCTATCCTACACTTCAAGGTCTATGTTGCCAAAAGGTATATGAAAGGCAAGAGGCAAACAGGAAGAAGTAAGACAAGTTACAGGTACAGAAAAGTAGCAAGGCCAGTACATGACAAGAGATGCACAGACAATGTAAAGACTTAGAATAAACACGAAATAGAAGCCAAGGTATTCTAAAACTATTAAGACATTTAGATAAAAATCACACAGCTACCTTTGAAAATTATCATATTGAATGTATTTGCCCAAGATTGCTGTCATTTTAAAGTGAACATGTACAATACTGCCATGTTATAATCTATAGATCTCCTTTTGAAATCCATCTAATTTCAAGTTTTGAAGGACAAAGGATTTTTAGAAGTAACCTTATGCAGATCGAGCTGGTTTCAAGTTAGGAGACAAAGGCAGAAATAAAGCATAAGAAATGTAAGTGTACGTGTAACCCAAAGTATCCTGTAAAGGAAACCTAAAACCAACCCTAAACGTTCATAGAAGTAATTTAAATTTGGGGCTATTATTTTACTTCAACCATATTTTAATTTTCTGCCTTATAGTTTTCTCTTCTGCTACAAGGAAGTACCTGAATAAAACCCCCAAACTAACAACTGTTTGTACCAGCAGAGCACTCTTTCTTCATAGATCCAGTACAAATATTAGTACTTGAAAATTTGGTTACTTCTGTCCTCTTGGGTTCTACATATTGTTTACTTAAAAATGGATATGGATATAATGTCTGTAGGAACTGAAGCTTCTAAAGTATCTAATTTTTCTATACAATAGAAACACTAACATCAAATTAGAATCTAGAAATTTTCCGGAAACCATAAACTCTAAACCATTTTAATCTGCAAGGTCCAATATTGAAAGAAATTGCCAAATTACTTGGGCTATCAAACTTGGGCTTTCAAAAATGTTGCAGGGATAACAAAATAATTATTTAATGGAAATTTGCTCTGTTAGCTCTAATCCTTAGCTTTACAGATTTTGTGTTCTTTTCTCCCAGTTGGACTCCCTTCTTGCTAAATCCATACATCTCTTCAAGTCTGTTAATAATTATTAATGCAAAGAACAGCTTTAGATCCTTTGCGTTAGATGTATATACACACTTAACTTCAGCACAAAAGCAAAGGCTAACAGCAGCAGTGAAAAAGTTGCCAATGGCTGAAGAAGTTAAGTTGTACTACAGGTTTCAAGAGTTAAGGCTTCTGTAGTAATACTACCTGGATCAAAAGTGTACCTCTTCACTTTTTATATCACTAATTTATTTCTAATTAAGGAATGCAGTTTGCTCAAGCAAATCTTTAGTTTTATCCATTTTCTAACTCCTTTGGTTTCTTGTGCTTGAATATTCAAGCCAAAAGGCTGCGCTAACTTTTTTTCATTGATGTTTCACAGAAAAAAGGACTATATACAAGATTTAAAATGCTCTTCCAACTCAAACTTATAGAGGGTGTAACATTTTTACTAAACACAGTAATTGCAAACACCACAGGT